GGAACAAAAATGTTCCACTGAAATAGTTATCTGGTTAAGCCTGGCTATATCTTTTTAAAATTTATTTCTTTTAATAACCTATTATTATTACATGTTTGAAACAGAAAAGTGTGTCAAAGCATGAGCTTATTATGTTATCTTGACTGTAAGCCCTGAATAAGCTTTTATTATTCCTGTAAACCTTTCCTCCAACTTTATAAAACAAATACCCCACTACTAAAAATATCAAGAAAAATATTTTAGGTCTTACATTCAAATGGAATATAATCATACCGAATTGGCTGTAGTTGATTAGAGTTCCTTCTACCAAGCTTTCTTTCTATCATGTCATAGCGGGTCAAAAGCACCAGCAATTTCTCACATGCATAGTGATTGGACCACTCCATTTTTTCAAGAGTAAATCTCTATAAATATAATAAAAACAAAACAAGATCTTGTTATCTCTTGGAGATGAACAACACTCTCAGGTGATATTATCTTTTCCTTCAGAATTAACATTAGTTAAGGTAGTATCAATGAGACTATTCCCAGAAAGATCAAGGAGGCATTACATAATAATTAAGTATAAGGGTTCTCAGTCTGAGTGCCAGTATGGTATTTCCCAGATATTGGGTAAATTACTTAACGTCTTAGCCTCAGGTTTTTATTTGTAAAACATACCAAGCTCACAGATTATGAAGATTAAATGAGATTACATGTAATGTGTTAAATATAACAGCAGTGAACATTTTGAATGTTTAATAAATGTTGGTTGCCATTATTATTGCTGTTGTTGGTAGGGATAAGCAATAAGTATTTACAATTTACTGAGCCACTCTGTTTCCCTTGCCATTATTATATTAAGGGTTAATATTAATAATCTCATTTAATCCTCATAGTGACTTCATGAGATAACTAATATTATTTCTATTTTGAAGATAACATATATCTAGTGTCACACAGTAAGTGGTAGACTGTCCAAACTTAAATTTAGGTAACTGATTACAAATTCCAATGTCCTACTATACTATACTGCCTCTCATAACAATATACTTGATCCTGACATTCTCTGGCTCTCCCTCAACATATCCCTGAATACAATGTATCTGTATATGGTATTTATATACAGCATAACTGCGATTTGTTTTATGGTCTATGAAATATGGTTACTGTGTGGCAAACGCATGAAGACTACAAATAAATGCTGGAGAATATCTGGGCAGTCACTAGCTGTATATTTTAAATCTCTCAGACCAATCAAAGTGATTTCCCTTCTTATCTTCCTAGCACCCAATTTCATACTGTAAAGTAAGAACTTATTTTCAGATACCTGAAACAATAATAAATCAGGTCTTTGGTACCTGATTTCCTTGACCAATTTATCCTTGTTCGAAAGGAATTCTTGAATAACCTATCAAGAGAAAAGAAAATAAGGATCGAGGCTTCAAAGTCTTTAAAAAGCTTCTGAAATAAACATATTTGAATTATTAGTTATTACCTCATGGAATGGGAATCCCTCACAGCTGCAAGCTTTTCTGAAAATAGATTATATACATGGCATTAATACAATTAGATTCTGAAATCATCTCATCCAATCTCATTTAATGAAAAATGTCCTTATATATCAATAATATCCCAGCCATAAAGTTTCTCTTTGAATCACTATTAAATAACTAACTTCTGAGATAGCCTAATTTTTGAACAGAATCTAGAAAAGGATTTTGTAAAATGTTACTAATTTAGATATGGGGGAAGGTTATATGGAAATAATTCAACCACAGGTGTCTAACTAGGTCATGCCAGAAAAGAATGAATGAAGAAAAAGCTTACCTCTTGATATTGTTCTCCACAGCTACCAGCTGCCTATCATGCTCTGTCCGGTGCCACTCACAAGGACAGTTGGATTCATAATCATGAGGTTCACAAGATCGGTCAGTTTGACATAATTTGCATCCATTACGTTCGTGATCCTTAGATGAACCTTTATGGAGATACAAAGAAGTATGATTTTCACTGCTTTTTAGAATTATCTTCTACATACATTTTTTTTTTTGGTGCCTTTATTGAATGCTCAAAAATGAACACTGCCTAGCACAGTGCCTAGCATATAGAAGGGTTTTTATACAGTAAGGTTGTCTAGGGTAATAAACACTACAGAACTTACCAGGTTAAAGAAGATCCTGAGCTGTTACTATCATATGACACTATTTTTTTGTTTCTGTACATTACTCTGCTATCTGAAAGTGTTAATTTGTAACTTGAAATTATACATTTATAATTTGGAATTACAAATTATAATTTATAAAATGGAAAATTTTGTGATTTATTTGGTAGCTACATACAAAGAAAGTAGGATATAATTATTAGTAGTAGTATTAAAAAGATTATTTACTTAATAGAGTAATTCTGGAAATGGTTTCTTTAATGAGAATATTTAAAAAATACAGCAGTTAATTACCTCTGCTAATATCCAGCTCTCAGTTATCTGTATAGCTATTTTTAAACTACGATACCAAATAAGGTATCATATGAACAAATTATAACTGTGGCACGAGTGTGGAGCCCTAGTTCCCTTCAAAAGGAAAGTATGACCATCTTCAACATTGTTTTGAGAATACAGAAGACATACATAATTGATATGACCTAAAATTGTATCAAAAAACTATAGAATGGGGCCGGCCGAGTGGCGCATTGGTTAAGAACTGGCTTGAGTGGCGCATTGGTTAAGAACTGGCTTGGGACACCAGAGGGCCCCGGGTTCAGATCCCACATATGAGGGCCAGTGACACTGCCCTCTACAGTTAAGATGCTGAACAACAGCTCAACCTGGAGCTGGGCTGCCATGAGTCGCTGGCGACGGAAGGCTGCAGCCCCTGTGGCAGTGGGTTGCCATGGGCTACCGTATATAGAGCAGCCAGCGTGAGTGGCCAGCAGCCGCAGTGAGCGGCCCTCCACAACTAGACTGAAGAACAAAAGGACAGAAACTTGTCTGTTCCCCTTCCCCCAATTCCCCAATAAAAATCTTTAAAAAAAACAAAAAAAACTATAGAATGGAATCTTATCTACAAGAACATTATTCTTCCATGATTTAACAATGTTAATTAAAAACATATTAAGACAAATAGATAAAACAGAATTTTTTTTTAAAGATGAGCTAACATAATTTCCTAATCTCTCCTGGGAATGAAAGCCCTTCTGATCTACTACATGTCAGTGACACCTTTTTTTTCTACCAAGACTAATGAAGAGGAACTAAGCTATTTTCAATAATGATGAACATGTATTAGAAATTAGTTTTAATGCATTATCTTCACACACAATAAATATGCCCTATAGGATAATTAAAAATCATTTAAGTATATAAATATAAATCCAATATAAAAAAATGGCTTAATTCCACTTTCCCCTAAGACTTAACAGTACAACATTTTTTCTTCAAATGGATTTCTAGATTGAAAACATAATTTTAAGATCTAAATAATTTGGTATCTTAGTTTAAAACTGCACTAATCCGACATGTATCATTTACATTATTTCATTCAATTAACATTTGCTGAGTGGCTCTTATGTGATGTGATACAACTCCTGACTAGGATTCCCAGTCTGTGGGGGAGCTACGTATGTACAATGTACTATAAGGACAGGGATGAAAACATGGGTATCAGACACTAACAGTCTGAGATATCATTCCCTATGTCTGCTTACCTGGGTGTGAACACACAGAGCAATGAGTCAGTTTTTTAATAACTAGTGGTTGTTGATTAGAGTAACAAGATTCTTCATTCCACTGAGTAAACCTTGAAAATAAAAGAAAATGGTTTCAAGAAGAAAAAAAAATAACAAGGTCCTCAAAATGCCATGTTCTCAAATATCAAGTTATTCTGTTCCCTTCTACCTACCTACTTACGAGTATTCTCCCTTTGGTGGTAGATAAAATTGCTGGCCCAGACTGGGAAAACCATCAATTTTTAAATGTGGCCTCAAGGACAGAAGAATTCCAACAGGGGAGGGGAGAGAGTGTCAAAGATGGGGAAAGAGGGAGAGGAAAAGAGGGAAAGGGGGAGAGGGGGAGAAGGGGAGAGAGAGGGAGAGAGAAAGAGGGGGAGAGAGAGAGGGGCAGGCGGGGAAGAGGGGGAGAGGGTGAAGGGAAGGGTGGGAGAGGGGGAAAGAGTATGTGTGTGTTTGTATTCATATGTTCATTCAGTCTTTTATTTTAAAACAACATTCACTTAGTCATATATGTAGGGACAATGATCTGTATACGTCTGTTTTTGATCTCTTTGCTGTGTGCCAGTGTATAAAACAAACAATTATGTACATGAACACTTCTGTATATCAAAATGAGGGTGAAGGGCAAAGTATAACTAAATAAAACATTAAGCTTTTGGTAAGAACTGTTAAAAAAATCCAGATCATTTAAAATTACCATTTTCTTAATCTCTTATGCAAACAGCAAAGACATTATCTATTTAATGAGAGGTTTTAAGAAAAAAAATATATTACTGCTAAAATGTCTACTAAATGAAAGTTAATTTCTGGCTAAAGTTCTAAGTCAACATAAAACCAGCAGGAGGATAGTTAAGTATTTATCATAAGACATAAGTGTTCTGAATTGTTCCTCTACTTACAGAAGTTAAAGTTCTAACTAAAAGTTAAATTATCTCTTCAGTTCATTGTGTAGTAACTGGCACTAAGAGTTATCATTTAGCTTTTGGAATTTCTAACTCATGTACTACAAAGACCAAGTACAAGCTTGCTAAAAATCAGCATTAATTGCTGCTGGCTGCTTGATAAATAATAAATAGAGCTTCAAAAATTAAAAATAGGGGAAAAATCAGTCTAAATTAATCAAAATTAAAATGCAGATAATTATAACAAGAAGTGTCACTTCATTATTTTCAAATGTTAAGACCAGCATTTAATAAAATGTTGCCAAAAGTACAAATTTGCTGAAACTGTTTCAATAAGAATGATTTGTAGTTAGCCAAGTACTGTATTTGCTTGTTTTTCCTTCTTTATGTTACTTTTCACAACTCACAAACGATTCCTTAACTCACCTCCATGTCAAAGTATACCTTTTTTTCCTGCTTTGGCATAGTAATCACTGATATTAATAATGGATTTATTGAAGTCTTAGATCTATCAATAGCTTTACAACTGCAAGAGAAGCATTATAGGAAGAGCACAATGACTTGAACAGTTTTTTCATGGTCTTTCCTTCTTGATTTCTACAATTATCATTTCTTTTCATGTACTCACCATCTCAAACCTACAGGAGACCAAGCACATTTTAAGTCTTCCAGTATCCTAGTTCCTTTTTTTATTCACTTTACACTTTATCATCATTAATATTAATTTTTATAAACCNGTTCTTGTGTATTCAAATGGGGAGCATCTTCAGATAAAAGCAAGCTATTCAATGATGCAGAAATAGATTTCTGCGGTAATGCAGAATCACAGAAAATTTCCAAATTTAACTTAGAAGAGATTTCGCACGTGGGTTTTAAAGTTATGTGTGACTGAAAATTCATATCATCTATTTCTGGCAAATTGTTTTTTTTAGACTTGGTTTTCATGCCTGAAAAGAAAAAAGATATAATTAAAATCTGTTTTATTTAACTTGAGTAAACAAATAAACTAGAGTTCAGATTAAAATCTTCTATGTGAGCAATATTTGCATTTTTTGTCTCAGTGCGTTCCTGGAAAGTGTGTTATAAGTAATTATAACAAAATAATTATTAACCAAAGATTACAAAATATTTTCTTGTAGAAACAATGTTATAGTCAAATTATTTTCCTCACTGAGGTCTGGGGAATAAAGAAACTATATTTATAATCCAAAATACATTAGTATTTTGGTAAGTGGTTAATATAATTATTATTTATATCACTTGGTTAACTTATCAGACCCAGAGCAGAACGATTTACTCTTGGCGTTTGAGCTTTAAAAGAAAGTATGTCAAGACGAAGAAGTAAGTGTTCTCCTTACTCTTGATTTTATAGAACTGTCAGCAAAATTTAGACATGATAGATTCATATAGAATAGATAGCTCCCTATAACATTTGTGTATGGCATAAATAGCTATTAAATGTGATACTTACTTTTTTGTTTTTTCCCTTTAATTTCTAACTTTTGTTTTTGGTAAATAGCAACAATCTCGGGATAAGCTGCTTTAAATAATGATTCTTCTTCTATTGTTTGTAGAACTAATTCTCCATGTTCATCTTCTATAGCATAATGTTCTAAAAGATTAAAAATATAGTAAAACGGCCTTAATTATGGATTTGAAAAAAAGCAATTTTCTAAGTAACTAGTCTTATCAGGTAAACTCAGTAATCCACAAATGGATAATTCATTGCAAATCTTGCTTTACAATATCTCTATTCTAATAAGCTGTTTATTCTAGTACAGAATTGATTTTCTTTTGCTTGACAAGCGCTGGAAAATCACTTTTTAATTAGAACTTTAAATTCTGTTGCTTCAGAGATGGTAGGAGCAGCTTAGAGAATAAAAACCTTTGTTTTGATAAGGTTAGTTGGTTTTAATTTACTACAATAAGTGTTAAAATTTCAGATAAAGAATGGAAATACAGTTGCCTAAAACTTCAACATTAACTTTCTTTAGTGGTAGCTTCTGAAAAGAACAGAACTGAAAGGTTCATCAAAAATATCACAGTAGTCCCTCCTTATCAGTGAGGGATACGATCCAAGACCCCCACTGGATGCCTGAAATCACAGATAGTACCGAACCCTATTTTTACTATGTTTTTTCCTATACATACATACATATGTACGATGAAGTTTAATTTTTGTATCAGGCACAGTAAGAGAGTAACAATAATTCTAATAATAGAACAATAACAATATACCATAAAGTCATGTGAATGAGGTCTCTCTCAATGCATCTTACTGTACTGTACTCACCTTTTCACTTAAAGGAAGCAGGTTATGCCTTCTCTTAGGCATATCCGGATTGTCAGCATCACTACTCCTGCACTTTGGGGCCATTGTTAAGTAAAATAAGGGTGACTTGCACACAAGCACTGTGATACCGTGACAGTGAATCTGATAACCAAGACAGCTCCTAATGGGTGAGTTGCCTACGTAGACAGTGTGGATATGCTAGACAAAGAGATGATTCATGTCCCGGGGGGACAGAGTGGGAAAGCATGAGATTTCATCATGCTACTCAGAACAGCATGTAATTTAAAACTTATGAGTTGTTTATTTCTGGAATTTTCCATTTAATATTTTTGGACTGCAGTTGACTGCTGCTGGCAATTGAAACCATGCAAAGTAAATCCATGATAAGGGGGTTCTACTATACTATTTTCCAGATTGCTGTTTCAGAGCCTATCAATCTCTTGAGGATATACCCAGACTTAGTGAACTCACAAGTAGCTGACAAATGAAAATGGAAATGATTATATGGAAAATACAATAAGATATATAAGTAGAAGACTAGATTTTTCCACTTATCCTATATGACTGCAAAATTGCGTAAGAAGCCAAGCCATAATGAAAATATAGGTTGATGAGGTTAAAGCAGAAACAAATGAACACAGGTGAATTTTAAGTGTTTCTTAGTTAAACTAGCTTGGGTCCAATTCTTCCCTTTAAGGGGTAGTTTCCACAAAGACAAATGAAAGTGGGCACCTAATCCTCAGTTCTAAACACAGGAGATGCACTGCCAAACTAAGTTAATGCCATTTTCTGTCCTGAAAATATACTACAGTTGGTGGGACTGTTCCTAAACAGTTTTCAAAATTCTTCAGCTTTCTGTTTTGCTATTATTACTGCTTAGAATGGTTTATCTAATTCTTTAATTTCAGCCGTCAAAGTTCACCTACAACTTAAACCTTCATTGAGAAACTGACTTTCTCATTCACACATAAACATACAATCTAATTTCAAGGCCAAATGTAAATGAATTTGGGATTCTTTTCCATTTTAAATGATCTGTGCTTTCCTTGTCTTCAGTTTTGGAGCTAATTCTAAGACTTCACTATATTTCTGTCTGTAGCAAAATAAGAGTAATTGGACAACTATAAATTCCCATGAAAACTAAATAAATTCCCATGAAAAGGAAACAATTTGTAGACTGAGTCAAGAAAGGAGAGTAAAATTATCCAGTTGCCACTCAGCTACCTTGATTTCTTTAGACCCGGCTACACGATGAAATCTAATGGCCAGACCATTTGTAGAGTCATTTCCTTGAGAAATATAAATCAAAACTATTTCCATACTATTTTCTTAAACATTAATTACAAAAATGACAATGTAAGACATTAAAATAAAATTACTTAGTTTCTCATATTTATTATTAGTCAAAACCTATTTAAATTGCACAGCTAAACTATGAAAGTAATCCTTGGTGCATATGATAGGTTTCTTCATTTCTTATACACACACATATGTTTTACATATGTGTACTCACTAAACGTACATGGTTAAATGTTATAAATTCTCTTTAAAGTGAATACATACCAGGCTTTTCCCATTCTATTTCAAAGCAATGAACTCCATTTCTGATCCGGTTTTTAACAATGCTGAAAAAACAAATTCAACTAATGAGGTTCAATTGCATAAGTTATCTGGAAATTTTCAATTTGTAGATTGAATAATTCAATTTCCATTGACTTTTATTCTATTTTTATAATATTTTTAGAATATTATAAGAAATTACCAGTTATTTGACTAATTTATTCAAAAGACAATTTTGTTAGATTCATAGAGCTTACAATTACTAGATCCTATGAGTGGGTTGTTCCTTTCATTATTATTCAATGTTCCTCTTTTACATAATAATATTTTTGTTTTAAAATTTATTTTGTTTCTGTTAATTTTGCAATATCACTTTTGTAAATATTTGCCTGGAAAATCTTTTAAATCTCTTCATTTTCAAACTTTGTGTTGTTTTATTTTGTACATGTCTTATCAGAATATTGCTGAATTCTGTTTACTCATCCAGTATAATGTCTTTTAATAGGTGAGTTTAACCTGCTTACATTTATTGTAATTTCTGACATAGTGGGACTCATTCATACATCTTATTTTGTGTTTTCCACTACCAATTTTCCTTTGCTAGTTCCCCCTTGTTCCTTCCTGTATTCTTTTGATTTGGTAGTTTTATTTTCCTATTTTATGTATTGGTTTAGAAGACAAAGAGTGTATTTCTAATGTTTTACCCTTACATGTTTACATGCATACTTTGGGAGTTTTAGGTTATTATCATCATCATATATTAATCATCAAGCATTATGCAGATATTTATTTATGTACATAGTTTTTCCAGTCAGATTATTAAATTAGCTAAATATGTTTTATCAATATTATGCTGACCACTATTTCTTGTTATCTACAGCTTCCCTCTGGGTTCAGTTTTCTTGTTGCTGAAGTACACCCTTTAAGTGTTTTTAATAAAGGTCTGTGAGTGGTAAACTCTTAGTCTTCATATGTCTGACAATGCCTTACCAATGTCTCGGTTGCCAATTATTTTTACTCAAAGCTTTGAAATATTACTCCATCATCTAATGGCATCTATTAGTGTCATGAAATATGTGTGCCATCATCTTTTCTTTGTATGAGTTTGTCTTTTTTCTTTGATACTTTTCCCCAAACTTTTTATTTTGTAAGTTTTCAAATCTTTAGAAAAGTTGTAAAAATAATACAAAGATTACTCACATACGCCTTCACTGAGATTTACCAATTCTCTGTTTTAGTTCCTCCACTCACTTTACATTTTTGTTCCTTTTCTGGAACAAAAATGTTCCACTGAAATAGTTATCTGGTTAAGCCTGGCTATATCTTTTTAAAATTTATTTCTTTTAATAACCTATTATTATTACATGTTTGAAACAGAAAAGTGTGTCAAAGCATGAGCTTATTATGTTATCTTGACTGTAAGCCCTGAATAAGCTTTTATTATTCCTGTAAACCTTTCCTCCAACTTTATAAAACAAATACCCCACTACTAAAAATATCAAGAAAAATATTTTAGGTCTTACATTCAAATGGAATATAATCATACCGAATTGGCTGTAGTTGATTAGAGTTCCTTCTACCAAGCTTTCTTTCTATCATGTCATAGCGGGTCAAAAGCACCAGCAATTTCTCACATGCATAGTGATTGGACCACTCCATTTTTTCAAGAGTAAATCTCTATAAATATAATAAAAACAAAACAAGATCTTGTTATCTCTTGGAGATGAACAACACTCTCAGGTGATATTATCTTTTCCTTCAGAATTAACATTAGTTAAGGTAGTATCAATGAGACTATTCCCAGAAAGATCAAGGAGGCATTACATAATAATTAAGTATAAGGGTTCTCAGTCTGAGTGCCAGTATGGTATTTCCCAGATATTGGGTAAATTACTTAACGTCTTAGCCTCAGGTTTTTATTTGTAAAACATACCAAGCTCACAGATTATGAAGATTAAATGAGATTACATGTAATGTGTTAAATATAACAGCAGTGAACATTTTGAATGTTTAATAAATGTTGGTTGCCATTATTATTGCTGTTGTTGGTAGGGATAAGCAATAAGTATTTACAATTTACTGAGCCACTCTGTTTCCCTTGCCATTATTATATTAAGGGTTAATATTAATAATCTCATTTAATCCTCATAGTGACTTCATGAGATAACTAATATTATTTCTATTTTGAAGATAACATATATCTAGTGTCACACAGTAAGTGGTAGACTGTCCAAACTTAAATTTAGGTAACTGATTACAAATTCCAATGTCCTACTATACTATACTGCCTCTCATAACAATATACTTGATCCTGACATTCTCTGGCTCTCCCTCAACATATCCCTGAATACAATGTATCTGTATATGGTATTTATATACAGCATAACTGCGATTTGTTTTATGGTCTATGAAATATGGTTACTGTGTGGCAAACGCATGAAGACTACAAATAAATGCTGGAGAATATCTGGGCAGTCACTAGCTGTATATTTTAAATCTCTCAGACCAATCAAAGTGATTTCCCTTCTTATCTTCCTAGCACCCAATTTCATACTGTAAAGTAAGAACTTATTTTCAGATACCTGAAACAATAATAAATCAGGTCTTTGGTACCTGATTTCCTTGACCAATTTATCCTTGTTCGAAAGGAATTCTTGAATAACCTATCAAGAGAAAAGAAAATAAGGATCGAGGCTTCAAAGTCTTTAAAAAGCTTCTGAAATAAACATATTTGAATTATTAGTTATTACCTCATGGAATGGGAATCCCTCACAGCTGCAAGCTTTTCTGAAAATAGATTATATACATGGCATTAATACAATTAGATTCTGAAATCATCTCATCCGATCTCATTTAATGAAAAATGTCCTTATATATCAATAATATCCCAGCCATAAAGTTTCTCTTTGAATCACTATTAAATAACTAACTTCTGAGATAGCCTAATTTTTGAACAGAATCTAGAAAAGGATTTTGTAAAATGTTACTAATTTAGATATGGGGGAAGGTTATATGGAAATAATTCAACCACAGGTGTCTAACTAGGTCATGCCAGAAAAGAATGAATGAAGAAAAAGCTTACCTCTTGATATTGTTCTCCACAGCTACCAGCTGCCTATCATGCTCTGTCCGGTGCCACTCACAAGGACAGTTGGATTCATAATCATGAGGTTCACAAGATCGGTCAGTTTGACATAATTTGCATCCATTACGTTCGTGATCCTTAGATGAACCTTTATGGAGATACAAAGAAGTATGATTTTCACTGCTTTTTAGAATTATCTTCTACATACATTTTTTTTTNGTTCAGTTTCTTTCATATATATCTTAGGTTTACTTGATATGTTGGCATCATTTTTCTTGAATTGGGCTGGTTTATGCTTCTGAGAACTCGGCTTCATTTTCTGAGTTGCATTCTTAGCTTTCCCCAACACTGGGACACTTTCCTCATCAGAGGAATGTCTGTCAAGGCAAACACTTTTCTTCATTACAATTTTCTGGGTGGTCTGCACATCAACTTTTCTACTATGATCTGAAGAGGTATTTGATGGTCCAGCTCTAACGTTAAAGGTCTTTACTATCACGTTATTGACAGAATAAGGTATAGAAGTATTCACTTTATAGTTTTCTTGAAACAGCTGGTCTCCTTTTAGAACCTGACCATTTCTAGATTCATTTTGCAAATAAATTCCTACAAGACCCTTTGAGAGATGTGCTGGACAATCAGAACTACTGTCAGCAATACAAGGTTCTTTGACTGTACTCAGGGACAAAGTGTTCTGGTCCATGTCTAGTTGTACATTAGCCTGAGGATGCGATGACTTTCTAAGCATTCGCTCCTTTAAAGGCAAATCCTGAAGATATAAGTCAGTGATGCCAGAAAGCCGGTGCTCCTCAGGGTTAGTCTTTCGAAGATCCCAATCCAACACTTTATTAGTGTTTGTGGTGCACCATCCTGGTTCACATGTCAATTGTCCTGGGGTGTTTTTTAAGCTATCAGGGATGGGAGTTTCAAGTTCTGATTTGAAACTGTGAGACAAAGTGTTCCTTGAAATAGATGGAGAATTACTAAAAGAAGTACCTTCCCAGTCAATGGTGCTCAAGTCAAGATCAGCAATCGTGGATACATGATGGGGTGAGGTATTGGGTTGACTAAATTCTGAAATCANATTTTATATACAGCAAGTGCTCTGCCAACATGATGCTTTCCTAAAACAAAGTGAAACCTGACTCAAAGCATTTTATATATCTTCAGTGGAATAAAAAAAAAAAAACCACACCCAAAAAACAAAATTACAACTTCAGAAAAAGCACAGAAATGCAAAAGTATTCCAAGTTTGAGTCTAATTTTACAACATGGCATAACGTAATAAGCACTACATTAATAAACCAAGATTTCATCTTCAGTCTTGGGAAAATCTCTTCACGTCTCTGGGCTTGTGTTCTAATCTATAAAACAATGACAGTGCACATGTGGGATGAGGCAGGACGATACACATTTTAGTAAAAAGAGTTGGACAGGTAAAATTCTCCACAATTTGTTTTTAAACCAGCTTTATTGTGATGGAATTCACATACCACAGAATTTGTCTATTTAAATTACACAATTCAAAGGTTTTAGCATACTCATTGTTTTGCAAACATCACAATCCATTTTAGAACATTTCCATCATCTACCCACTCATCCCAAAACCCATACCATTGGCAGTCATTTCGCTTCTCCCTCCTTAACCTCCATCTACCCATCCCCACCCCCACTCACGGCAACCATGCCATTTTCTGTTTCTATGGATTTGCCTATTTGGAACATTTCATGTAAGTTGAATCATACATGTGGTCTTTGGTGACTGGCCTCTTTCACTTAACGTTTTCAGGGTTCTTCACGTTGTAACATTTATCAGTAATTCATTTCCTTTTATTGTCAATAATGCATTCCATGGCTAGACCACATCATGTTTATCCATTCATCAATCGATAGGCATTCGGGTTGTTTACACTTTGGGGCTATTATGAATAACACTGCCATGGACATGTGTGTACAAGCTTTTGTGTGGATGTGTCTTCATTTCTCTCAGGTGTATGTCTGGGAGTGGGTCTGCTGTATCACATGGCATAATAACTATGTTTAACTATCTGGGAAACTACCAGACTTTTCCAAAGAGGCTCCCCCATTTTACATCCCTACCAGCAGGTTATGAGGGTTCCAATTTCTCCACATCCTCACCAACACTTGTTATTACCTGTCATTTTGATTCCAGCCATTCTATTAGGTGTGAAGTGGGATCACTGTGGTTTTGATTTGCACTCTTCTGATGACTAATAATGTTGAGAATTTTTTAAATGTATTTATTGGCTATTTGTGTATATTCTTTGAAAAGTCTATTCACGTATTTTACCCACTTTTATTTGACTTATTATTATTGAGCTATAAGAGTTCTTTATACAAGTCCTTGTAGATACAAGTCCTTTATCAAATTTATGGTTTGCAAATATTTTCT